CCTCCTGCGGGCCCTGAACGGCGCCAGGGCGGCGCTGGCCGCGGCGCTCTTCGCGCTGCTGCGCCCCGTCATCGGCGCCGTGCCGCGCAACACGCGGCGGCAGCTGCGGCAGCTGGTGAGTCCCCCGGCGGCGCGCGCACACGCCGTCCCCGCCGCTTCGCGCGTCTCCCCGCCGTCCGCTCGCCTGGCGGCGCGTGCGTGTACGCGGGGCCCCTCCGCCCCCGCAGCTTGCGGGTCGCCCCTCAGGCCCGGTGCCGCCCACCCAGAGTCACCGACCCCTCCCCCGCCCCGCGCCACCCCCGCGCCGCCTCGCGCCCGCCGCAGGCGTCGCAGCTGCCCGCGGGACCGCTGTGGGCCAAGATCGCGTGGCTGTGGGAGCAGCCCTTTGTGCGCAGCGTGCGCATGGCGGCGTCTGTGGCGAACTGGGGGGTGCGGCTGCCGGCGATCGCGGCGCTCATACTCACGCAGGCCAGCGTCATCACAAGCCAGGTGCGTGGGGGCCTGCGCTCCGCTTGCCCTGCATACCTGCTCGCCCTGCCTCCTGTGACAGCAACCTCGGTGCTCCATGCGGCGCGCGCGTTATGTTCGGAGAGCCGGACGGCGGCCGCTGGCAGACGTGCGCGGCGCGGCGCGCGTGTGCATGCGAAGGGCCCGGTCCAGCATGCGCGAGCCGCGACGGCAAGTGCCCGCCGCGCCCCCTGCGGCCGCCGCTTTCTTCCGCAGGTGTCCCTCGCCATGCTGGCGCCGCTGCTGCTGGGGACGGGCATGCTGCTGCGCAGCATCAAGGCCAACGCGGCCTACATCATCCCGCGCGTCGGCCTGCTGTTTGTGATGCTTTGGATGTGCTGGTTCGTGCACTCGGTCATGCAGCGCACCCTGCTCTTCATGCAGCAGCAGGTGCGCGGGAGGGAGGGACGGGTGTCTGTAAGCGACTGCGCGCCCCGCGCACGGCAGCGCCGCTCGGCGGGCAGGCAGCGCCCCATGTTGGCGCACGCCTGGATCCGTGCTGGATCCGTCTCGTGACGGCTGATAAAGGGGCAGAAGCGAGGCTGTGGTTGCCTGCCGCTCGAGCATCAAACCAGCGCACACTCCCCGCGCAATCGCACTAAGTCCGCTCAGATGCGAGCGACTGACTCTGTTCTTACGCGCCCGCGAAACCCCCGCCCCCACGCCACCGCAGGGTCGCCTTGACCGCCGCATGACGGCCGGCCTGCTGACCCTGACCGAGTGCATCGCGCTCATGCTGGCCGCGATTGTGGTGCTGACCGTGGCCGGCATCAACATCGGCGGCCTGCTGCTGCCGGCGGCTGTGGGGCTGGCGTTTGCTTCAAAGGACGTTCTGCAGAACCTGGTGGCGGGTGAGGGGCCGGCATGGGCCGGGGTCGTTACAAGGCGCACTCCTGTGTCTCGCGCACGCGCGTGCATGTGTGTCAGTGTGTGTGTGTGTGTGTGTGTGTGTGTGTGTGTGTGGATGGGTGTGTGGGTGTGTGGGTGTTTGTCCCGTGCATGTGTATTTGTGTCGGTATCTTTGTGCATAAGGTCTGTGTGTATGAGAGAGAGAGAGTGTGTGTGTGTGTATGTTTGTGTGCGCGTGCGCTCTCGGTTTCGTCACCAACACTCCAAACCACTTGCGCCGCCGCCGCAGGCGGGTTCCTCCTTATCGTGGCGCCCTTCAGGATTGGCGACCGCGTCGCCGTCCCCTGCACCGCCACGCCGCCGCCCCCGGCAGCTGCGCCACCGCCCGCCCTGGCCGCCGACGGCGGCAGCGGCAGCGGTGGCGCAGGGGCGGCGGCGGATGGGGAGGTGGACGGCAGCGGCGGGGGCGTGCTGGTGGGGGGCGTCGGGGGCTGGTTTGAGGGCGTGTGTGAGTCGGTCTCGCTGCGGTACACAGTGCTGCGGTGCGGCAAGAGGAAGGTGCGCACATGCGAATGTGAAAGTGTGTGTGAAACCGGGCATGTGTGAGTGGGTGTGGGTGTGGGTGTGGACGTGTGTGTGCAGATATGTGTGAGCGTGCAAGTGTGAGCATGCATGTTTGGGTATGGTGTTTGTGCATTGTATGTACATGCTCGTGATCAACGCACTCACGCGTGTGCGTTCCCTGCCGCGCCCTGCTGCTCCTTCAGCGCCCTTCTCATCCGAGCCAGCCCCGCGCCGCCAACACCACGACCCCCCAACTTTCACTCCCAAAACCGACTCCAAAACAACCAATGAACTCCTCAACACTTGAAAACACCGCAGCTGATGGTCCCAAACATTGACTTTGTCAACCGCCAGTTCATGGTGCTGGAGGAGACCCCCGGCAGCCCCTCCCGCGCCGCCGCCCGCGCCCGCGCCAACAACGCCAGCCCCCGCGGGCCCGCCGGTGCCGCTGCGGGCGGCCGCGGCGCCGCCCAGCCGCCGCTGGTGTCTGGTCAGCCAATTACCCCGCTGCCGCCCGCGGGGCCGCACAACGGCGCGCCATACGGCGTGGCCGGGGCCCCCGCCTACGCAGGGGCCCCTGGCCTGCAC